GATCCAAGCCAGGATGCTGGCGGCCTTGGCCACCTGGGCTGCAGCAAACATCAGGAACCTGCTGACACAGGAGTGCTGGCCACCACCCCCACGCCTTGAGCCCCAAACCACCCTCAAGCCTCCCTGCAGGAGGGGGTACCGCTGGCGGGCTCTCTCCCTCTCCCTCTGGCTCTGCTCCTCCTTCTCCCTCTCCAGCAGCTCCCGCAGCTCCTCGGCCTGCCGGCCGTAGCGCTGGGCAGCCCGCTCGTCCGACTGCAGCAGCTCGGCCTCGTGCAGCATCTTCAGCTTCCTGATGTCCTGCCTGTGCTTGGCAAGCAGCTTCTGGATCTCTGGTTCCAGCCCTGGGGCAGCAAAAGGGATGGTGACAGCCCGGCCTCGGGGCTGCCCACAGCCCGACGCCGCTGCCCTGGGCCTCAGCCTGCTGGTGAGGGGGCCACGAACAGCTCAGCTCACCAGCAGCCCCCCTGGCCATGGCCCTGCTGGGTGTGACCCCCACCCCAGCTCCAGGAACACCCCCCTACCTTTCACTGTGACCTCCTTGATCTTTTTGGTCTTCTCATCCATCCACTTCTCCCGCCTGATTTTCTCGCTGGCGCTCATCAGTTCCTTCAGTTTCTTAATCTCCTGCTTGGGAGCAAAGGGGGAAGCTGCAGAGATAAGGGTGGGGAGAACACCCCCGTGCCCCTGGCAGCCTGGCTGCCCAGGAGGAACCTGCCAACAGCAGGGGAGAGTCTGAGCTGGGCACAGCCCACCCCTGCCAGGCACGGCTGCCCCTTCATCCCACGCTCCTCTCCCCGTGCCCGGGGCTGCTGCCACCCCACAGCCCTTGAGCACGGGGGGAAAGAGCAAAACCCTTGGGAAGGGACTTGGCTGAGGCACGAGAGCACCCACGGAGGGGAGAGGGGCTGGGGCTGCTGATGGTCCTCACGCCAGGGCAGCCCAGCTGCCAGCACACACAGGGTTGTGTCTGAAGCTGCTCCTTCTCCAGCCTCCCCTCTGCCTGGCCTGGAAGACCCTCCAGCAAGAGGACAGACAGACCCACTGACTGAGCTCCCAACCCCATGGTACCACCACAGACCCAACTCCTGCAGCACCCCAAAACCCTTCAAAGACTTGAGGGTGTTGCAGCCCTGGCACCTCCACTGCAATCCCTTCCTCCTCCCCAGCAACAGAGCTGCAGAAACTCCCTGGCCCTGCTGCCACGGGGCATTTCCCAGCTCTCCCATCAGCCAAAGGTGGTCAAAGCACTCGACCACGTGTTGCTGCACTGGGGTTCTCAGCCAAAGGAGGGTTCAGCCTGGCCAGAAATGGCTGTTCTGGCATAGGTGATGTCCCAGCGTGGGACACGGGACATGCCACAGCCCCAGAGGATGAGTGTGGCTGGACACCAGGGAGCAGAGCAGAGTGGGGAGGAGCAGGGTGCCCGTGTGGCCTGGCACTTGCTTTTTTAGGAAGAAAAAAGGGCAGAAAAATTGGCATGGGAAGATGGGGAGCAGCTGAATGTGTGGCCTGAGGAGACTGGTCAAAGGGGCTGATGCTGCTGAGCGAGGGGTTCCCAGCCCAGCCTGGCTGCCTGTGGGCACCTGCAGAGCCAGAGCAGGTCTGAGAGCAGGAGGGTAAGGCACAAAAAAAAGAGCAAAGACCACATTTACCTCACAAAAGGGGCCCAAAGTGCGCCAGACCTGGGGAGAAAGAAAGGAGGGGATGGAGAGAGAAGGGGACTCGCAGAGTCGTGGGGAGAGGGGACAGACCTCCCGGGGAGGCAGCTCCTGTGGGAGCCAGGGTGGCATAGCTGCAGCAGTGTCCCTGGGCCTGGCAGTGCCACGGGCACAGCTCTGGCACCAGGGCAGAGCTGGCCCCACTGGCCAGCGTGCTGCAGGGTCTGGAGCCCACTCTGGCGACCGGGGGACGCCGAGGGGCACACGTGTGGCTGGGCTGCCCCCCACCAGGCAGGGGAAACGGGGAGCTGGAGCAGAGCTGGGAGTGGGGGCAACAGGGGGGGCACAGAGCAGATGTAGAAATGCTCCTGGGCAGCTCCCACCGTGGGGCAGGGGAGAACAGAGGCACCTCCCGTGCCCCACGCTGGCTGCGGACCCGAAACGGGCCCCGGGCCTCATGGGA